TGTGAAGATTTGCAATACTCTCCTCAGCGGTGGGCCAGGCCAAAGGGTTAGACTGAAACAGCGGATACTGAAACATAACGCCCTGGAGGTCAGGCTGACTCTGACTTACAGTCAGGAACACAACCACGGGAGGCTATGGGGACTTAGGTTTTCGCTCAGTAGAAGTCTTAACGGTCAGTGCTGGCCGTCAAAGCAAGCGTGTTCGAGGGCTGTCTTGTGAGATTGAGCTCACTTGAGGTCCTTGCACATCTTCCGGCAAAGGCCGGACTGGCCACCCCTTCAGAGGGGAGCTGCAGGAGGGTATAAATGAAAAGGCCCGGAGTTAGGAAAACTGGCTTCATTCCGGTCCTGCCTCTAGTTATAGATGGATAATGTTGTGCAAGTCAGTTTCCTTGTGTGGACTTAGCACTTCCTCAGCTCAGAGAATTGAATCATCCTTGGCTTTTTCAACTTGTGAAATCTGCGACACCTCCCCCCTGCCCTCAGTACATAGGTCCGATGAGCTACTACTAATGGACGGCCCTGTCACCACAGAGGCTAGCCCTCCTGGGGCGCTGCGGGGCTCCTGGGAGTGGTTTACAGGGGCTGGACTGGCTGATCTTCCAGCCCTAAAATTCTATCATTCTCTACGGCTTCTTCCTACCTTTTCACGTCTGTAGACTCCAATCCCTCATTTTATGCAAGAAGTACCTGAGTCTTAGAAAAGGGATTTATCCAAGATCTTAGAGCTGATTAGTGGAGAACTGTATTTAGAACACACAACTCCTGGCCTAATCCCTTCTACCTCTGCAGGCGGCTCCCTACTGCCATCCATGATTTGTCTTAGCATTTGTTCCTCCCAAGGTCCCAGTACACCTGTGCTGCCCTCTGTAGATTTCTTTGCCTCTTAGAAAAACAGATCCAGTCCAACACATCGCTGCAGCCCGAGACAATACCCCAGGATTCGTTTCTCTAGGTAGTACTTTAGCTCAATGAAATGGGAAGTGAAAAATAAGGCCCAGACTTCCAGTTGTCCCACAGTATCTGTTCTCTCCTTCTTACTTCCAGAACCCCATTTAGATGGCTGCCCAAAATAAAGGTATTTCCCACTCTTTTGTAGCTAGATATGGCGCAGCAACTAGGTTCTGCCCTAAAGATAGTACTGTAATTAGAACTATCTTGTGTACATCATGGAAAGGGTTCTTAACGAGAGGGAGGATGCCCTTCTTCACTCTTCCTTTATCGATGGCTGGAACGTAGGCATAGTGCCCGTACCATCAAGTCACCTTGGACCATAAGGTAGACACCATTGGAATGGTGTCGGAAATGGTGAAACAACAACACAGTTGAGAGCTTAAGTCTCTGATGATCTTATGAAGTCTCTTCACCAGCCCCCGACAGCTTTCCTTGTGTTTTACAGGCAAGAGGAAGAAACTTCTATTGTTTAAGCCACCATTACCATTTTTCATCAACTCTTGTCATTGATTGTAAGACAGCATTATTTTGTAGATCATGAAAGGAAACCACTGCCAAAGAAATGGACACCCCTTCCAACGGTATGACACGTTCCAATTTCAGATAAGTTCAGATGTGACAGAAGTATGAATCTTATTACATGAAATGCAGTATTTTGGGTTTTTGCTACTCACAGCCAAGCCTAATCCTGATTCAAGAAACATGAGGGAAGGAAAAGATGACAAGATCTAAATAAAGAACACGATAATCATGTGGAGGGAAGAACAAGTTTCTATATAAAAGAATGACTCACAAAAATAGTAGTGACATGACTCAGTTTAGGGACATTCCTCCTATACTTCCCACTCTGGCTCGGATTAAATGGGAGCTTATGTATGGCTACTTGCATTTGGCCATCAAGTGAAACGAGATGCTAGGGGAGGAGTTGAGCTGGCTTTAAGGTGTTGAGAACGCAAAGCTGATTGTTAAATCAGTCTCCACTCTGTGTGGTTTGGCTTTTAGGGGATCTGCCTCCTTGGTTTCTTCTCCCCAACTCTGCAGGGTTCTCCTGCTTAACTTTGAGAAAGACTGATGGTCAGCTGCCGTTTGCAGCCAACGAGCCCTCCCTTAGCTGAGACCCGTAGAGACGCTTTGGGCTCTTCCCGCACCGGCCACCGCTGCTGCCTTCTGGTGCAACTTAAGTCTTGGTTTGGTGCAAGTACTTCTGGTCAAGGCGAGACTTTAACCTATGATAATCCAGTACGGATGTGCCTGTTGTGATTTAAGCATCGAAGGCCAATGGGACAAACAAAAGGGGAAACTGGTTTACCAACAAGTGGTTCTAAGATGAAATATCCATTCTGTGTCATTAAAGCAGAGTCACTTTCATGAGGAAGGTTCACTTGACCATTTCTATTTCTGTTTTATTTTAAATGTTTATTTTTGAGAGAAAGAGCGTGCTGTGCACAAGCAGGGGAGGGACAGAGACAGGGGGGAATAGAAGATCCAAAGCAGGCTTCACACTGACAGCAGACAGCCCGAAGCAGGGCTTGAACTCACAAACTGAGATCATAACCTGAGCTGAAAAAGGATGCCTAACTGACTGAGCCACCCAGGCGACCCTTGACTCTTTTTTTTTAAGATTTATTTTTGGGAGAGACAAAGGATGAGCCGAGGAGGGGCAGAGAGAGAAGACACAGAATCCGAAGCAAGCTCCAGGCTCTGAGCTGTCAGCACAGAGCCCAAGGCAGGGCTCGAACTCACGAACCTAACTGCGAGATCATGACCTGAGCTGAAGTCAGACACCCAACCGACTGGGCCACCCAGGGGCCCCTGCCCCTTGACTTTTTCTAAATAATGCAGTAACTTGTTATTTTCCATGATCCTTTCTCCTGTGATTGCTTCTTGAATCTATGGGGACTCCAGCCATCACAGGTTTTGCTAACTCTACATTCACTTACTGATTCTATCCTCATGTGACACATTTTGTTTACTATTTAATACAACAACCCCACAGGAAGGTAGTATAATTCCTATTAAAAAAAAAACATTTTTAAAAAATTTTTTTCATTTTTGAGAGAGAGCATGAGGAGAAGGGCAGAAAGAGAGGGAGACAGAGAATCCCAAGCAGGCTCTAGGCTGTCAGCCAAAGCCCGACACAGGGCTCGAACCCACAAACCGTGAGATCATGACCTGAGCTGAACTTGAACACTCGACCGACTGAGGCACCCAGGCGCCCCTATCATTCCCATTTTTAAATGAAGGCTAAGACAAGTCGATTGACTCTCACAGTAGCGCAGCTAATAAATGGGCCGTGAACTTAACGTTGGTGAAGGTTGCCAGTACAGGGTAGTTGCAATGTACTGTAGAAGCGGCCCTTTAGGGCTTTTAGGCTTCAATCACTGACACATACGAAGTTCTGCTGAGGAATATTGTTACCCTTCCATTCAGAAGGGCCACCGGGCAAAAGACTTGTGCCTATTCTGAAACAAAGCCTTGTCTGAAAAGACAGACACAAAACAAAACACAAAGAAACCCCAAGGTTGGATGCCTGGTGGGAGATGGACTGGATAGGCACGGCTACCCCAGGCCACACTTCCGTCATACTCACCGACGGTTCCGACGGCCTTTGTGATAAACTGGCAGCACCCAAGTCTGTCATTGAGGGAGGGGCACAGGGTCCCACGGAACATTCCCACAGCACACGAGGTACAATTGGGGTCGGGCTGCCTGCCTGTTTCTAATGAAATATGTCATGTGACTCTGTGGGAGCAATATCTAATAACAGTATTTAAAAATAACGTTTTAGGAATTTTCTGCTCACATCATCATCAAGCGTGTATTTCCTAGAAAAGAAAAAAATTCCCTATAAATCCTTATTTAACCTTGCCAATTCTGTTGAAGATATATTATAGTGAATCATGGGAATTTCTTTTATGATCTCATGTTCTACATAAAAACAGCTCAGCTTAGTATGACCCAGTTCCTGTGGGCCAGATTCTAATTCCTTCTGGTTTCAAAAAGTGGAAGCCCTACCAAATGATTTCCTCTGGATTGAAATACATTAAAATGGAATAAAATTTCATATCCAAACTCATTACATTTTCCCTCAGATACCAAAGTACAAAAACACAATGCTAAATTTCTTTTAAATTATTTTATTTTTGTGTAAGCTAAAAGGAAATTTACACACTGAAATCTCAAAAGACCTGGGCATGCACATTCACCTTGTTAGAGGTTCCTCTACATGTCTTTCTTTTTTCCATAGGAATTTCCCCAAACATTTAAAACCCATAGTTTTTACTGTATATACAGCCTAAACCATAGCAATCTATGATTATGTCATTTTACACTGTGCAAAATCCTCAAAAAATAGTGGTACGATAAAACAAAAAAATCATTAAAACAAGTAAATTTCATTGTAAGACATTCATATAATTTGGTCCTTCTCCAAACCAAACTGATTTAAAACAGACACAATCTCTTTAAACCCCTCCAATCAAGTTCTGACAATGATCCATACTCTACAACAAAACAGCAATCAATTAAGTACCTCGCAAAAGGTCAAATAGCAATATGCCAGATTGAAAAGATTAAAAAAAAGCGCAAAAATGTTAACAAAAGCCAGATCTGAAACAAACCCACCACACATAAAATTGAAAAAAAAAAATTAAATGGAGACTTTGGAGCTTATTTATGATAGCAAAAGTAATTCAACATAGGATATGAAAAATTAACAGAACATTCAATGCAATCTGAAAAGACTGAAGGGGATTTCACAGACAGTGGAGATTTGAGTTTTTAATTTTTTTTTATTTCAAAAGTTTTGTAAGAAGGACACCACCAGTGTATTTCACAAAGACATAAATGTATACACCCCAGCAACACAAAAAGAATAAATCTTCAAAAATGTTCACCCCCGATTATTTACATTTTTTCTAATATAAATTTAGGACTTCAGTATGTAAATAAATATACATTACTATGTATACCTTTCTAGTGCGGCTTACCAACAAATCAGCTGAACTTTTTTTTTTTTTTTTTTTAATTAGAGCAGGTATGCTTTTGATGGTAGGGAAGGGCTGGAGGAAAGGAAAAGCAATTGAAAGTGTCCAATTCACATCGGTTATCAGTCTGCTTTCTCTTGGGACCTTGTGGAAGGTGTTAACGTGGCTGGGAACATCAACACCTTGGCATGCATGAACGTTAAGTCAGGAAGGCTAGCGATCACCTTGACGGCTTCTTCACTTAGGTGCTCTTCTCTTTTCGGTTTCCTATTGACAAATGAAAACAGAGAAGTGTGTTGATGTGACTTTGCTGTAGGTCAAATGGGAGAAAATCCACTCCCAAGGCAGACAGCGATCTGTGGGGACTTCCTCTATCAGGTCCCGAACTTCCTAACAGCTTTGTGCTGTGTGCTTCCTCTGCCAGCTGCTGAGTCGCTCACAAAGACGTACGTCCTTCTTATGTATGCCCATTGCAGCCAGGCACGTCCCTGTAGATATTCACACGGACCTACGCACGGCCCACAGATTTGCTTAAGGCTGGAAGCATCTACTGCCCAGGCACCCTTTTAAAATGTTACGAAGCTGAAATATAATGCCAGAGCCCTAATAAAACTTCACCCAACTGGATTTCCCCCTGACCCCCTGCGAAACTACCAAAATTACTTCAACATAAAACAAAGTATGTCTGGCACAAGACCTTGTAAGTCATTTTAACCTCAGGCTTTACTTAATCCCCCATGGGGAATTCCAGGAGAGAGAGCCTTCACCTCAAAAACACCCAGTTTCGGCCCCACCGGGACAGACAGAGCAGGTCCCAAAGCAGCACGGGAGCCGGTTGTGGACGTGGACAATGGACATACTCCACAGACGTGGAGAATGGCAGGACATACTTGGGGAGAGGGGGAATCCCCAAATCCTATGGGTTCTGTAGATGGAGGACATTTTATTACACTGACCCCTGCTACTAGAGGTGAGAGGGTTAGTGCCTAACACAGGAAGAACTCTTTTTGACCCGGGGCCTCCCAGCTGGTGAGGTGCAGAAATGTCAAGTGAGCCTCAAACGTGGCTCAAATTGAGCACATGATTGTAAGCCAACCTTTATTTTTTCCAGGACATTAAATATATTGAAAGAATAGCTGTAGTCATGCAGATATTAATTTTAGGCCAAAGTTTATTTTTAAATTGTTGACTCTAAAAAGCCCAATTTTCTTTTATGGTAAAGGATAGTTGGTACTATATTAGGTGTGACACAAGTTATTTCTTCCACCTAAATATGTTCTTTGGGATGGGGAACAGAAGTCAGGAGATGAAGCAAGACAAGAAAGATAGACATAGGCCTTTATTTCATACCTAGACTTTTCTGTTAATCACTTTTGAAATCAGGCTGAAATTAAAATTAATAGAATGACTGAAAAATCAAACATCAGAATTTTAGGACCAAAGTTCTTCAATAGGGGGTCGAGCTTCAGGCACACTGAAACCATCAGATCAACCAATACTCGGTTCTAGGGTTTCTCAGAAGAATGGAATAGCAATCTGGTATTTTCTGATTAAAATCTACACTTTTAAAAAATGTCTATTTTTGAAGGAGAGAAAGAGTATGAACGGAAGAGGTGCTGAGAGGGAGGGAGACACAGCACGAAGTGGGTTCCAGGCTCTGAGCTGTCAGCACAGAGCCCAATGTGGGGCTTGAACTCACCGATGGGGAGATCATGACATGAGCCAAAATATGATGCTTAACTGACTGAACCACCCAGGTGCCCCCAAATCTACATTTTTAATTGCATTTAAACGACAGCAAAATTCTTAGGTGGATATCTGGTGAAGAAAAACCAGAGAGTTCATTTTTTTTAAATGTTAATTTATTTTGAGAGTGTGTGTGTGTGAGTGGGAGTGGCAGAGAGAGGGAGAGAGAGAATCCCAAGCAGGCTCTACACCCAGTGCAGAGCCTGACATGGGGCTCGATCCCACAACTGCGAGATCATGATCTGAACTGAAATCAAGAGTTGGACGCTCAACTGAGCACCCAGGTGCACCCCACCCCCCGGATAGTTATTTTTAGTCTCAAAGTGAAAGACTGGAAGTGCATAATGGAAAAGGCCTGCCTCTCACCAACACTCAATCTTGGCATCACTAATGACGGAGTCAACTAGATATTACGCATCTTCTGATGTGGTTCAACACCTGTGCCGTTTACCAGTCAAAATGCTTTACCTGAGTTTATACAGTATAATAATTTGTGGATATAATTTCTAAAGCTTACAGGAAATAAGGGGAATAGAGAAAGATATTAAATACTACTTGAAGGAAGCCAACAGATAAAATCCAGAAGTTGAGACATTCTACAGGACACCTAGACTGATTTTTTTTTTTTTTTAATTTTTTTTTTCAACGTTTTTTTATTTATTTTTGGGACAGAGAGAGACAGAGCATGAACGGGGGAGGGGCAGAGAAAGAGGGAGACACAGAATCGGAAACAGGCTCCAGGCTCCGAGCCATCAGCCCAGAGCCTGACGCGGGGCTCGAACTCACGGACCGTGAGATCGTGACCTGGCTGAAGTCGGACGCTTAACCGACTGTGCCACCCAGGCGCCCCTAGACTGATCTTTTTAATAAGCTAGTGTTAAAACTGAAAACAAAAGGAATGGTGGTAGATAAACCATATTAAAGGAGATTTGGGAGCCATAAGGGCCAGGTACAATCATTCTCTGCTTTGTTAAAACCAATATTCAATTGAGGGGATATCTGAATATAGCCTTGGTATCATATGGAATAAAAATATGAAGTGGACAGATGGAGATAACAGACTGCAAGGTAAGTTCAATTCAGTATGGACTACAAAACCTCACTTTTGGTTAAAACACCACACATACGTATATGTTTCCATAGAAAATTATCTGAGAGAATACACTATCTGAAAGAAGGAGTTCTACCGACCTGAGTGGTAAGAATGTGAAACTAAGTTTTAACTTTTTGTATGCATTTTCTAACTTTCTATATAATCTACCTTACTGCTGCTGTAACGATAAATGGTTGTCAAAAACAGGAACAGATACAATTATACCTAAACGGACTTTCTCCTTTGTGGAGTGCAGTTGGGGAGTGGGAAAGGAAAGCAAAGTAGAAGCTTCCACCCAAGAAATGGTTGGTAAAGATGACTCCAGGCTTTTTACCAATAGCCTTACTTCAGAGGCACTCCTCGGAGGCAACAGGAAATTGAACAAAGTTTACAGAGTTCATAGTCTGTGTATTCATCTGTACTCAATGTGCATTGATGTGATCTAGTTGTTTTTTTTAGCATATAGGAAGAAAATGCTTGAGAATTTGAAAATAAAAGTTGTATCACGAACATTTTTCAAGTCCAAAAGCAGTGACCTAATTTTGATTTATATTCTTTAGCTAAGATTTATCCTTTTGTCAGTGGAATGCAACTGAGAGTCTAGAAACAAACTCAACAAGGGTCCCAAGACCATCAATAGGGTGAAAAACAGTCTTTTCATCAATATGGACTATCCACATGTAAAAGAATGAAGCTGGACTCCCATCTCACACCACATTCAAATATTAAATCAAAATGAATCGAAGGCCCAAATGTTAAGAGTTGAAGGTACAAAACTCAGAAAAAACCCTAGGTATAAATCTTTCGGACCTTGAAGTAGGCAATGGTTTCTGGGATGGCTATCATCACAAAGTCAGTGAGAATGCAGCAAAACTAGAATTCTTATATATTACCGGAAGGAATGTAAGATGGTGCCACTACAACGGAAGATAGTTTGGCAGTTCCTCAAAAAGATAAACACATGACTCGGCAGTTCCACTCCCAAGAAAATTGAAAACATCTGTCCACACTAGAACTTGGACACGAATGCTCACAGCAGCATTACTCAGAATAGTTGAAAAGTGAAACAGCCCAAGTATCTATCAATTGATTAATGGATAAAGAAAATGTGGTGTAATCACACAAAGGAATATTATGCAGCTATAAAAAGGAATGAAAAGTACTGATACACACAACAGCATGGCTGAACTTGAAAACATGTTCAATGAAAGCAACCAGATACAAAATGTCACATACTATAGGAGTCCATTTACACGAAAGAATCAGAATAGGCAAATTCCTGGAGACAGAAGGCAGATTAGTGGATGTCAGGGGCTGGGAAAGTGGCAGATAGGGAGTAACTGCTAATGAGCATGGAGTTTCTCTCTGGGGTGAAAAATACGTTCTAGAATTAGACAGTGGCAACGGTTGTGCAATGCTGTGAACACACTAAAAACCAATGGATTTTATGGTATGTGGCTATCTCAATTAAAAGATTAAAAAGAAAAAAGATGTATGTACCCCTTTTGGCAACTAGTTTGGCTTCTATAAACCTGAGTTAGAGGTCTGTGGCTACTAACTAGGTGGCCACCCACTGATTCCGATAAGGAAGAAATTTTTCTCTATATTAGAAAAGGTGAGCAAGAAGATGGAACTGTTTTAAAACTAAGAACTCGTATTTCTTTAAAAAGTGAAAAGTCATTTTTTTCTTACATATGCAAAACCACTTAAAGAAGAGAATGCTGTTTGTTACACATCAAATTCCTCTACATGTACCACAGTTTCTTAACCCTCTCGTGCCTTATAGTCACTCTATCTTCTGTGTACTGTCAATAGCCAAGAAGGTTTTGCTGAGCTTTACTTCCTGTAGTTTATTTTATTCAAAAACAAAAAGAAAAACAAAACGTAAAACAACAAAGACTCCGAAATTTTCTGAAATGATACCTGCCATCCCCTTTTCTTTTCCCTGTACGACTGGGAATCATTCATGAGGACATCTTACAGGATTACCTTCTAATTGTAAGACTTGTCAATATTTGCATTTCTTACCATTTTCAAATAACTAAATCCTCAAAGTTGAGGAATACAAAGCTGGCAATTCATTTTTTTCTCAATTTGTTGTTGAAATTTTTTTTTAATGTTTATTTATTTTTG